GGACGAAAGGAGAGTTGTGAGCTAATATTCTTTCGGTCCAACAATAAACTTCTCAATGTAAACAATAAATTTCTTATCTTTTTTAAAATTATTTTATTTATAAATTGATATATCATAAAAAAGTATCAATTATATTGTTCAAAATTATATCAAAAGTTCAACGAAACAAGACGCGACAAAAGTATTTTATCATATCAAATTATTGATAAAAATATACAAATAGGATAAGTTATTAAGAAACCGTAATAGTAATAGAAATGTTTATTGTCGTAGACTTGTAGCCTGTAGGGTAAATAAAGTTTGACAAAAATTCATAGCCGATCTTGCGTGGAAGGAAGCTAAGGTGCCGTTCCTTCATTTTAACAACTTGTAGGGTTCTCAAAACAAATAATGGGAACAGATTTTACACAACAATTTGACTTTTTTACTTTAACGTGGCAGATCTTTTCTTTCTTTCATTAAGCTTCTTGTGCTTATATACTAAGGGAGTCGTCCTCGGGGCAGGGTATAGACCCATCAATAAACCTGAATTTTCTCTTGGCGCGTAGAGCCATTCTCATGGCTCTTGCCCATTATTCTTCACAGTTTCTTCCGGTCAATCGTTTGATAAGACAATATTATTGTCATATCTTGTTTTGTAGAACTTTTGATATAGTTTTAAATAATACTCCGTACAATTTGTACTTTTTCATGATATACCCATTTGTAAATAAAGTAATTTTAAAAAAAAGATAGAATTTCGCATGTTATTCAAAATGAGAAGTTTATTGTTGGACGGATGGAGTATTAGTGAAAGGATTCTAGAAGTTCAAGTATTTTTGCGATAGATTTTGAAGTTCAGGTACCGAAAAAAATTTCTCGAAAGTTTAGATATCATACATGAAATTATCCAGAACATGAATGCAAATGAATTTAAATCTATCTTCAAAAGTTACCCACGTCATTAGAAGAATGGAGTATGTGACATGTAAAATAAAACATTTTGTTGAACGTTTAAAAAAACAAAGACTAGTAGTTTCACGTGCCTTGAAACATGTCGATAAAATTTTATAAAGACTAAATTTTAGTAATCTCAATAAAGTTTGCTCGACATGTTTCATGGCACAAGTAACTGATGATGTTTGTCAAATTAATGTTTCTAACTTAATTGGCAATATATAGTATCCTTGTGCCGGCCATTTAAAAAGAAAAAAACGAATCGTGGAAAAGGCCGATGTGGGAAAGAAAGAAAGAAGCAGAGTAACAACAATAATAAAAATAGTAAAAAGGTAATTGGTAATGGAATGCTGTGTTTCAAAGCCTAATTAAAAATATACTCATAGAAAATACTTTTAGTTTTAATTTTAAAATCTCCCGCTTGACTGCCTCGGATGGATTGCTCTATTACGAGTAGATGTTTTAGACCAAAACTTCATCCACAAATTCAGCAAAAGTATATATCCCGTCTAATTTGACTTAAATTTTGTACGTCATCGAATCTGATTTTATTAAGGTAAGATCATATCTGTTCTGATCTAGTTATAGTTATATTTAAAGGTTTATTTGGTCTAATTAGGTCTGATTTGATCTGGACTGTTCTTATTCTAATAAGAATAAATTAATGAGACAAGTTTTTAGTCCATTTTTTAAGTAAAGTTATGATGAGTTCTTTGTATATCCTATAGATATGATGTGAGCATTGTTGATTTATGTTGAATAATTGAATAAGAATTTCACTCAAGGAATAAAGGGGGTTACATAAGGTATATATAGATGTGGAGATCCTAACACAACTAGGATTCCATAATTATCACAACTGCTAAATATAAGAATTCTACCATAACTACATTACTGCTATAGTTGTCTAACATCCCCCCTCAAGCTGAACGCCGTGAAACGAGAGGAAGCTTGGATACTAGAGTGGTGTATCGTGGGCTCGGCAAGGCTTTTGTGAGAAGATCAGCAAGTTGCTCTGTGGATGGAACGTAAGAAACTGTCATCTGGTCCGCAAGTACCTGTTCCCGTACAAAGTGGCAGTCAGTGCCTACATGCTTCATGCGTTTGTGAAAGACCGGATTTTTTGTTAAACAGATAGCTGACTGATTATCACAGTAGAGATGCGGTGGAGGACGCCTACGCTTCAAAATGTCAAGCAAATAGGAGAGCCACATAACTTCAGCAGCAGCCGCGGATAGGGCACGGTATCCGGCCTCTGTCGAAGAGCGTGAGACACGACTCTGTTTTTCCGTGCTCCAGGAGATAAGATTGGATCCAAAATAGACCAAGTAACAAGTGATTGAACGTCCATCCGTCATATCATTTGCCCAATCCGAGTCTGAATAGGCTTGTAGGTGCTGCGGTCCTCGTTGAAACAATAATCCACGGTCAAGCGTGCCCTTTATGTAGCGTAAGATACGCTTAAGTGATTGAAAATCCTGCTCTGTGGGGGCATGCATACGCTGGCAAACATGGTTAACGGCGAACTGAATATCTGGCCGCGTGTTTGTCAAGTACTGTAGGGAACCAACTAAACTTCGAAAGAATGTGGGATTCGCAAAGGGGCTGTCCGCCCCTTCCTCGGCAGACCGAACGGGGATAGGAGTGGGTGACGGCTTACAATCCTCAACCCCGGCTTTGTGAAGCAATTCTCGAGCATATTTTTCTTGAGAGAGAATAAGAGAATCCTTCGTACGGGTAACTTCAAGTCCAAGAAAATAATGTAGTGGACCGAGATCCTTCATCTGAAATTCCTTGCGCATTGTGTGAATAAACATAGAGATAATAGAGGAATCACTGCCAGTGACTATAATGTCATCCACGTAGAGCAAGACAATGAGCACACCACGATCAGAATGCCGCACGAAAAAACTTGTGTCATGCTCGTTTCTCCCAAAGCCATAATCGCAGAGAAAGCCAGAGAGGCGCTCGTACCAAGCTCTAGGGGCTTGTTTAAGGCCATATAAGGACTTGTGTAACTTACACACAAAGTGAGGATGTGCCTGATCAATATACCCAGGAGGCTGCTTCATATAAATTTCATCGGGAACCACACCATGAAGGAAGGCATTAGAAACATCCAGCTGATGTAATGGCCAGTCATGATTCACTGCAAGATACAAAATTAAGCGGATAGTTTGTTGCTTGACCACAGGGCTGAATGTCTCAGAATAGTCCAACCCATATTCGTGGGTATACCCCTTGGCCACGAGTCTTGCTTTATACCTGGAAACAGAGCCATCAGAGTTACGTTTAATTTTATAAATCCACTTACAACCAATAGGAACACGATCTGTAGGACATGGAACAAGAGTCCACGTGTGTTGATTCATCAAGGCAGAGTATTCTTCATCCATAGCTTGACACCA